AGACTTGGTATCATGCGTTGGAGGTGGTGGTAAATTGTATATGCTGCCGGATTCTCTTCAGTAAAAGTATAGTGTGTAAGCTAAGGTTAGCTTAGGTGTGTGCGGGAGGGTCGATAGCATTGGCACCCTACACGTTTGCTCGGTTGCACCCATTCAGTCTAATCAAATTTAGTTTTAAGTAATTTGCAGGTAAATTATACACTTAGAAGAGGAGGGGAATTGGAAGAAAGTAATAGGGTCATCGGGAGTAATGCGAACTGTAACCATTGTCTTCCAGATGTGTTGTACGTCGCCATCGCCATTGCCCTATGCCTATCAATACTCGGCCTCCTCGTGACCATTGGATATTACCAGAAGCACAAGTGGTACATCGTCGCCAGCAGATCCTCTTCCCTTGCAGGTGCCTCTTCAGGTTCCTCTCCATCCAACGCTAAAGTTCGTCTCCATCCGTTAGGCGTGGCTAACATAAATCTTGTAGCCAGCCTCATGGACGAGAAAAAGACTGATGATCTCAACATGCTCATCTAAGGCTCAACTCAACCCATTCCCATTTGTGTATGTATAATAGGCATGAATGAGAATGAATATCTTCACAGTACAAGAGATGACTGGTTTCGATTATATCTTCGTCAGAAATACATGTACAATGATATAATTGAAACCGGCTAAATACATTTCTTGTACTGTGAAGATATTCATTCTCATTCATTCCTTTTATACATCTGTCAACGTGAATACGGTTCACCTTTCCCCTTTGTTAGGTTCCTTGAGACAACGCCAGGGTAGCAATGATTATTACAGGTTCTGATTGCTGGACATAGTATCAGGGGTTAACTATTCCCTTTTGATTATCATTTGGGGCTCAATGAGGGTAAAGCTAATGTGTTTGCAGTTATTTAGGCAAAAGGGCAATCAATGTATAATGAACTGCAGGACGTAGAACCATTGTAATAACCATTTCCTTTGTATTAGATTACCTAGACATGATGAGTATAACACCTGTTTCCTTGCAAAGTCCTTGTGTTGCTTTATAACAAAAAAGACTCACAAACTGCTTACATTGTACGCTTTTTCGAGGGGAACATTTTTCCTATGATTCTTTACATTTGTAATAGATTTGAATAAAGGCAGAATACTTCTGCTGTCTCATTTCACACTCGTTTATAAGTCTTAGTATCTTTATTATGTAAGTACATTTAGTGAAGTTTTTAATATGCACACACACACAAACACACATTACTACCGCTGTCATCTTGATAAAGAACTTTTCTTTCTACAGTAATCTCATAACGTCTCCTTGTTACCTGATCAAGATCATATTTTTTAGTATGTGTTTTTTGTAATATATATAAAAATATATATATATATATATATATATATAGTATATATATCTATATATATCTAATATATATATATATATATAATGATATATATATATTATATATATATATATTTATCTATACATGTATTCATCTGATAAAGACTTTTCTTTCTACAGTAATCTCATAACGTCTCCTTTACTGATCACGATAATTTTAGTATGTGTTTTGTAATATGTATATATGTATTATATATATATATATATATATATATATATATATATATATATATATATATATATATATTGTATATATATATATTATATATATATTATATATTATATATACATGTATGTATATATATACATATATATGTATATATGACTGCCGCGATAGCTCAGTGGTTAGAGCACTGGACTCCGACCCTCGTGGTCCCGAGTTCAATTCCCCGTCGCGGCGGTCGTAAAAATGCCTGCGCTCTGACTGCTAGCTCGAGCCCGAGAAAAACGACATATCGGCTTGAGAAGTCACCGCCGTGGCACAAGTGCTAGCGGTTGATTAGGAAGGGCATCCAATCAGGCAAAGGTTATACTGCCATATAACCTCTCAATTCCAAATGAGAGAGGCCTATGTCCTGCAGTGGAATGGACGGCTGTTGAAAAAAAAAAAAAATGTATATATATATATATATATATATATATATATATATATATATATATATATACATACACACACACATGTGTGTGTGTATGTGTATGTATGTATGTATATATATATATATATATATATATATATATATATATATATATACACACACACACACACACACACACACTCACACACACACACACACACACACACACACACACACACACACACACACATACATATATATATATATATATATATATATATATATATATATATATATATATATATGAATATATATATATATATATATATATATATATATATATATATATATATATATATATGAATATTTATATATATATATATATATATATATATATATATATATATATATATATATATATATGAATATATATGAAAATATATGTATATATGTATGTGTGTGTCTGATAGCAGTAGTGTCGTAAATACTACCGTAGAATTATAAGTTTGAAGCAAGATGTACAATTAATAAAAAATGATAATAATGC